CTCCTCACAAACTCTTTTAGTGCAGGCCCATTGGTGGCATCTAGCCAGTGTCGGCACATTCAATTGATTATACAGTACAAACTCTAATTAAATGGCAATTTTCCAATCTTAACAATGCAATAGTTTATCTTTTACATGCTTTCTCATAATTAATTTTCTGCTTTCAAGCATTGTTTTTGGAGAGGGCAAAATGCTCATGGCAGTTGAGGTCTGCAAGTGTCCCTGTGGCCCTGGCAGAGAAAGGTGTTAGACACAAGGCTGGGTGCCACAGGAGGTGGCAATCGGGTCCTGAGCCAACTTCTGATCCCACCTCAGCCTCAGGAGAGTGACCAGATACTTAGGACTTTGTACTCAGGTTTTCTTCTCCTCACTGTCCCTTCCACTTCAAACCATTCCATGATTCTCTGTGAAAAAGTGAAGAATTTTTTCAGCTCTTCTGTAAGCTTTTCCTCAGGTTTCCTACAATGCTTTATTTCCTGTAATTTCTAATTTATCCATGTATTTTATGTCTGACTTTAAGTCTGTTTTATAATTATTCTTTACTTTCTTATATCTTTTCTCTTTCTTATAGATAAGAGCCTGTCACAGGTTAAATGTTAATGTTGCTAAAAATATAATTTTGTATTGTTTTCTAACTCTCACCTGTGGTGTTTGAAAGAAACTGTTTCACCTGAGACAAAAACTGCAAGGATTATATGTTTCTAATGTTAAAATTTTACCAAGGGGACATTTGCCAACAATCATTTTGAACATTAATTCCCAAGCATGGCAGATATTGTCTGAGCACTTGACTTCAGTATAACTAAGCACACAGGCTTCTGTAGTGGCCCATAAGTAAACAGATCATACATTTCCTTCTTTGCTGTGCTGAGTGAAGAGACATTAAGCAAAGCTAGAATAGCAACAGGAGGCACACTAGCTGGATAGAGAGGATATCCATAGATATCTAATTAAAATATCTGATTGTAGTTCTAGGTCCTTTGATTATTTACTCTTAAATCTCCCAGCACAATTAAAATTATTCATGCAAAAGACACAGACAAATTTCAAATAAGTAAAAAAGAAGCTGCTCTTAAGTAGTTAATCTAGACTTATACTAGCCTTTAAACTCCTTCACAGCTTATCACAAAAGGAACAAAACATTTCATCTTTCAGAGGCAGCAACTGAGACTGTGATGTTATCTTTCTTATGGTACGGCTTTGAACTGTGACATTTATTCTGACTTTCACTCTCATTCCTATTCCTAGCTTCATGCTGAAAGAGAATTTAATTCGTATTTGCAGATATTCTTTTGTAACTTTTATTCAACCTTTACCTTGAGGCTTTCTTTTTCCCCTTAGGCAAGTTTTTTTAAAATTTGATCAGTTGAATTTCATGATCACTTTTGAAAGTAAAGAGCGCGTTATGATAGCTTTATCTCTGCAACAAAGAGTATGTGTTAACAGAAGGGATCCCACTGAGGGAGATTCAAATATTTTAAGACTTGTCAATTTGCCTGATACTGTCTATATGGAATCATTTGAGGACATGAACATCTGAGGTGTTATTCTAGCCCATCTAAATGCAAAGTTTCCTAACAATTTAAACACAGCCTGGATTCCGCCCCTTCCTTTTACTTACTGCATTGGAGAGATAACCAAGCAATAAATAAAAATGTGAGTAACAATTCCTTTCTTTTTTTTTTTCCAACATAGTAAGTGAGCGGGGAGTACCAGATGGGGAGCAGAACAGAAATTGGTGGCAAGACAAAACCATTAAGTGGCTGTAAACATGGTCTGATTGACAAACAGAGGTGATTCGAGTTGTGAGACTTCCAAAAGGGGAGCACAACACCATCCATGTGCAACAGGCCTGCAGAGCAAGTCTTTGAACTTCTGCAGAAGAGACATCTCTGAGCAGAAAGAGCACAGCTCAGAAGAGGCCGAAGAGGTATATTTTAGCAATGCTACTTCATAAAAAATGAAGTAGCAAGAGAAAAACATAAACCTATTTACCAAGAAGAAACATAAGGGTTTGGATGAAGGGTCATGTCCCCTCAACTCTCCTTTTTCCTAAAGCAGACAGAGCTGTTGCTTCTTCTCTTTGAAGAACCCAATTATTTTCGCCATTTCCCCTTTCTTCCTTCTCTGTCATGTTCCTGATAATTGCTTCCTGTATTTTCACATGAATAGGAGTCTGTGAAAAAGCAAAAACCTTAAGACCTATCATGCTCCTTCTTCTTCCCAAAAGAATGGATTCTTCTGCTCTGCCATTGAAAGAGGAAGTGAAGAAGCCAAAGCAGAAGCAGAGAGCTAAAAAAAGAATGTGGAGATTCCTTGAGTAATGTAGCATTCATAGGCAATTGTTAGGTCCTTACTGAGTTGTAGCTGGCTGAACAGTGCAGTGTCTAATGCCTGGATTAAAGTCTCTCCTTTGTTCTAAATAATTCAAAGGTATCAAACTAAGAAAAAACCCCTACCTATATTTAATGAAAGGAAAGTATTTAAATAATTCCAAGATACAGAACCTGTAAGATTAGACTGAAAATTAAGAAGAATTGATTTTTATTTATTTTGTATTTTCTGATCTGTCCATTTACTACAATAAATACAACAGTAATTCTGAAGCCCCTACTTATCTTACTTTTGAATCTTTCAGGTGAAAAGCACTGGGCCTGTTACTGCTCTGGTTAGTGTTCTGAAGCCTTTTGCTCAGTTTGATGCTTCTGCATTATTCTACTTGGCAAAATTATAGAAAAGTAGAAATTTTATTAGAAAAATACTTTTTTTTTTTTGAGATAGGGTTTCTTAAAGTTACTGATTGCTGTGGAGTTTATCTAAAAATGGATGGAAAGTAATACGTTTCAGATAAGGAGCCTTATTGCATAATCAAGAAAAGAAAAAACTCCACAAACAGCCATGTGCATGTTTTAACTTTTTTTCATCTCTGCCGTCTTTTTTGCTAACACAGATTAATCTTTCTTTCCTACCTTCACTGCATCTCTCACACTGATCCTCTGCTCCTTTCTCTTGCACATCCTTAGGAGAGGACACACAGTCCTGAGACAGGCGCCTCTCCCACCACAGGCGTGCACATGGATGGAGGCAAGCACAGACCACGCAAAAGGCTGGGTGTGGAGCAGAGCTCCCAGCTGAGAGACTCTCTCCATGTCAACAGCAGAATTTGTTCTTCAGTGACTATCATTTTAGTCATCTATGTAAAAACACATCTAAAAATTACAGGAAACTCTAGTGGTCCTTTTTATATAAAAGGATAAATAGAGCATTTTATTAACACTTTTTTGCAGCAACAAAAGTGACACAGTCCACATCTTTTTCATTAAACACAGCAAAAGCTATGGTCACGTTTTACATCACTTTGAGGCACAAAGCAAAATACTTCTTTCCTTAAGGTCAAGGTATGATTTGCATTAAAAAAAAAGGAGAAAAAACAATCCTCAAGTTGTATATTGCGGTAGCAGGGTTTCCAATCACTAGCACAATACAATGAACAGACCAAGAATCCAGAATGGATTATTACATACAATAATATTCATTTGATTGAATTAAGAAATGGATCATTGTTGTCATTTTAGAGTATTAAGAAGTGGTCTGGTGTTGCTAACTTCAGTTGGTTCAGTTTGGTTCAATCCCAACAACCCCAAGTATATACAACAAGCTAAATGTAGGTTAATATATAATCTAGGAGATTATGCACTTCATAATGCATTGCACTTATTGCTTGGTACACTAATGTTGCAGTCACTGTTGAGTTATGCTAAAAAGACAAGCCTGATGCTTGCTGGCTTCTTTCAACCCAACACTAGTTATTTACCACTTTGGTTTATTGTGAGTTTTTATGTTACTCATATTCAGTGTCCATTATTATTAGGTTTGATTGAAAGACAAATACATCTTTTATTTCAGGGATTTCTAAAATAACACCATTTTCTATAGTTACAGTATCTTCAATAAACATATCTATGTATACAACTGTGGCACAATGTGTAAAAATATGAAAGCTATTAAGGGAAGAATAAGGGTTAAACTATTCTCTGTTTCTTCTATTGGTTTCAAAATATCCTGCAAAACAAATACATCCTTTTTCATAGGGCTATTTGCTCATAGTAAACTTCTCTTTGGAATTTTGTAAAAGACTATATTCTTTTCTATGTTATATTGGGGTATTTTTTCTCTTTCTAAAGACACCAGTACAAATTCAGAATATACTGCAAAGAATAGAATAATAAAGCTTGTTTTTTGATAAAGGGATTTGCCAGGCTGCCTGAAAAGTCAGACTCAATGTTTTATACTGTTTTTATATTAGTTGATAAATGCAGGGAAGAACATGACAATATCTATAATTTAATGAGATTCTGTAAATGATAGAAATAAGAACTTGTGCCCAAACATTCAGTATAAAACTCTTAAATAATTCCTTTAATTATCACAGAGTAGCCTGCAGCATGTAATCACGATAAACATACAATATGCCCTATTTGTTCTTTAGGCTTGATACAATTACCGTGAAGGGAACTGGATCAATCCTTGTAAATGCCTAGGACTCAACCTCTCTTCTTTAAGAAAGTTCTTGTCCCAGACTAAACACACAACTCCTACATTGCACTGAGTAAATGTGTGTCTTCAACACAACCTCAATACAGTGTAACAAATATATAAGTGCATTTTTAATGATCAAGTTATTTGGCTTTCTAAAAAGAGCATTAGATGTGCCGACTTGGTTGCTTAGTTGTGCTTTAATCTGTAATTATGAGTTTTAGCTCTTGTATACTGTAAAGTATCTACTTGCCTCTATAGTTTTGACCAGTAAACCCTTAAAACTCTAATGTTTATAGAACAAATATAACCTAATGAAAGTGATAACATCACAACTCATACAGATTGCACTTTGATGTATTTTTTTACAGTAAGACCTTCCTGTTTGATATGTGTTTACATGTTTATACCACATTTTATTTCTGTGTGCAAACAATCACAATGAATTTAATCACAAACACTACAAAATATACCAAATATTTAGGTTTGTTATGAATAATCTCTTTCCTTGTAGTTGTATGAGTCTTGTACTTCCTCTTGTACAAATTCCTCTTTTTTCTCCCAGCCATTAGGCCAGCCACCATTGACCTGGGTTGTAGCACCATAAGACTTGGTGGTACCATAATTTACATAATTCTGAGTAATGTCCCCTGTCTCCTCAGCAAGTTCATCTTCATGAATAAAGCCACATTTCTCTTCGCTTGTCTGTTCAGGGTCTGCCCAGGGCTGTTTCTCTCCTGAAGCAAATATGCCGTAGAAGATCACACCTCCATAATGAACTAAAGCAGCAATGAGGAAGACATACTGCCATTCTTCACGTGTCTGTAAAGAAGAAATTTGCTAAATCAGAGTAGCACATAGATTTATCTAATTCTTCTGAGCTGCAAGATTTAAATTAGGGATTGAAGTTGTGATAGCACAGCTAAAACATTCAAGTTTTAGAAATATTTATATCCATCTTTCTTTGAAAAATTTATCAGCCCACAAAAGTATCAATCTAATGAGCATATAGTGAAGCATGCCTCAAATTAGTATCCCTGGATGCGAATCGCAGACTCCAGTATGGATATCCTGGCAAGTCATATTACAAAAAGGTCTTTCTCTTGAAACCAGTTGTATCAAACTGGAAGATTTGAAAACTGTATTTCCCTTTACCTTGTTCTTTGTCATTGCTCCAACAATTATAGGGCAAACCATTCCAGACAAGGTCCCGACTCCATTAGAAATCCCCATTAAAATGCTAGCATACCTCGGGGCAATGTCTAAATGGTTGACATTGAATCCTGCAATAGAAAGGTCAGTGAGCGTTCACACCAAGAGCACAGCAAGTACTTCAGTTGAGGAAAGTGACATGACATTTTTACTATAACATATTTGGGCTGCTTAATTGCATTTCTTTATCCCTAAAAGACTTACAATGCTTAAATATTCGTAGAGAGACTCTGGGTTTTCATTTTCTTTTAAGAAAATATTTTAAAGGGATACAAGGTTAATTTTCTCCCAAAACTGCAGCTTAAGAAAACCCCAAAACCTCCCAGCAATGTCTGTGTGGAATAGAGAACCCAGATAATATTTAGGCAGGGAAATAATCTGTATTTTATAGTGCCTTCCATGATCACTTCATGCTGTAAATAACACATCTTCTCTTCTTCCAGTATGTAACATGTTCTTTTCCTATTGCCCACATTTCTCTTTTTGTCACACAGACCAGCAGAAAGGAGTTCTTTTCTATTCTTCAGTGTTAAATTGGAGAAAAAAACAGTGTCTGTAACTGAATTAATGATTAATTTTGAAAGGTATTTACTTGTTCTCTTGGATTTTCAACAGGACAATTCTGTTGAAAATGTATGCAGTAACAATTCAAATAATTCAAAGATACAGAACTAATTGTTCCCAAAATAAGTACTTAAATAAGTGAAAACAGAGACCAAACCTTTGGATACAGATAGTATAATGGATAGGGCAGGCAGCTTGGGGAAAATGCAATACACTTCCCAAATTGTACAAAACAAGAATGATACCTTGCAGAATGCATGACATTAAGGACAGATTTGATTAGAGGAGATTTGAGATGTTTGGCACAAAATGAAAGAGAACCTGTTTGAGACATAAGGAACCAGCATGGGAGAGGATACTAAAATCACAGTGGGAAAACAAGGGGAGGTCAGCTGACTTGTATTTGGGAAGGGGAAAGGCAAAGGGTTGATGAATCAGCAGGAAAGAGGGGTAGCTGAGCTTTAATTCAGAAAAGAAATTATAGTAATTAGACCCCGAAATAATACAATACTAAGAGGCCCCAAATTAATAAAATAATACAATATTAACAAAGCAATAGCCAGTACACAGTGGAAAAAAATAAAATACTTCTATTTAAACAAAGATGTGTAAATTTAGATACCATTATGTAATACCAGTCCATTTGTCTTCTATGTTTGATATCAAGAAAAATCTGTAGTGTACATTAGCATCTAAATGAGAAGAGAGTCTAATCTGCTGTAATGAACATGAAAAAGATTGTATTATTTGAACAGAAATAATGTAATATAAAAGCTGTAATACCAAATGTATATTCCTTTATAATGATCACAAATAATGTCCTTTAGGAATTCCAAAGTGAGTGGGCTTTTTAATTACTATTCATGAATAAAAGCAAAGATAGAAGTTTGTCTCTTACGATAAAATAGTTTAGTGTTAATAACAATATAATCTTACCAGATATGGCAAATCCACTAAAGCCTACAGCAAGCACTAAGAATGAAATAGCCACTCCTTTGCTGTGTGAATATCCCACCACGAGAAGAAGAGTTGCTTCCATACCAAAACCTGGTGAAATAATAAATAAAACCAGACACTGAATTAATAAATTCCCTCTCAAATACTGCAGGCCTCAGGATGCCATGATATTTCATGGGAACACAAATAAAGCATTACCTCAGAGTGGGATACAATCAGGTATTTCCTTCATCTCTAAAAAACACAGGTCCTTCCTTTCTCAAATAATACTTATTGAACTCTTTATATGCTAATTTATTGCCACTTTCTGTCATTTGTAAGATAAAAATAAATACCTGGTTAGGTCATTCCAGTCAACTCTCATGGGTAACCTGCTTGTGAATTTTCCAGCCCTGACAACAGCTAATGTGGCTTCATCACCTCAAAAGTCAAGGATGCAATCTCAGGTAGTTATCTCGGCTCTTAGTGCAGAGCGTGTTTAGATGAGGAGCTAAGGCTGAGTAAGTAGCTAAGAGTAGGAAAATTCCCCTCCAAAACCTCATCTACTTCTTTAATAGTCTAAATGGTTTTCCAAATACCAAATAACTGTATGGAACTGGCAAACGAGAGCACCTGTGTTTTCTTTTATTTAGTAACTAGATCTGCATTGCATAAAAAATGCAGCAAGTATTGCCTCTTAAGAACATACAACTGTGCAGTTTGTTTCTTCATTCTACGCAGAACACAATATGAACATCAAATCCCTTCAAGAAACTTTTAAATAAAATAGAAACACTTACCTCCACAGTTCATTATCTTTCTCACATTAGTCGTTGAAACAATCTGTCTGCTTCTTAAAAAGTCAGCAATTTGTCCCCCAATAGGAACAATAATTGTCATCACTAAATGCGGCACAGCAGATAAGATACCCACCTAAAATTAAAATTAGAATTAGCAAAGTATAAACCATAATAAAATTTTGATTCTTCATTTTCTGAAGCATTCAGCAGCTAATTAATTATTTCTTTTCAATGTCACACTCTGTGATAAAATTTAAAGTCTTGGGTAATGAAACGAACAAAACTAGTGATCTGAAGTTTTTATTTTATTTTATGAAGTACAGTGAGAATTTTCAAGAACCTCTGATGCCATGACACTTTTTGTTTATAGATTGTTTTCACAGTTTATATTTAAGCTAATGCTTTTACCCCCTCACTTATAGCCCCTGTGTCAGAAGGTTCAGAAAATTCACGATCAAATGTGTAAAACTGAATTGCTGCATTTCTTTCAGTGTTTAGTGCAGCTTTGCAGAAATCCTCACATGCCTAGACAGATTCCCTGTGGATCATCATCACTTGCACAATGGCCATTTTTTGTCTTTGATTTCTGACCAAGCTGCAAAGTGTATGTGGGCAAAAGATATGTCTGAAAAGCTTTGTATGTAGTGAAAGATAAAATACTGAATATCCACTGGTGATATTCAAAGTGCTATGCATACATGGCAAAATAAGACGTAGTACTTTTGTGATGACTGTTCCAATAGATTATATTGTGTGTTCACATTTACCTCACAGGTCTGATCCAAACTTCATATGAATCTCATGGATCATACGTGATATCAGATATCAGATCACCCCCACATCTCATATTTTGCCACTGTCTTTTCTCCTTTCTAAATGAGAAAGGAGGAGCAGTTCTCACCACATTAAAGGTGAGAAATAGAAAGGTGACAAATTATACTATCCTTCCCAGAACAAGATGGCCCTGCTTTTTAAAAGACACCTGGAAAAATACATTTGTCAATGCTTTCTATAAGCTTTGGTGGGTTTCTGCAGCCCCTGGGGCATCAGGAACAGAGTGTAATGGGTCTGCTGGCACCTTCCTAATACTAAGCATGATCTGGTTTTGAGCACTTAACTTGCAATGTAGGCCCAAGTAAATCATCGCTAAATCTCAGCCTGCCTCCACCTTTCCCTATCCCATCCTTTGTCATAGTTGTTACTTCACTTATTCTTGCTGGTCAAGGAAACAGGAACTGGGATGAGTAAGATTTAAGATGTAAATCCATGATAAAGATGCGTAACACTGTCTTATTCTTAATAAATACTACAGATATAGCTCTGATACTTACTGAGTTAAGATAAAATCTTCACATTCTTTTTACATACCTTGCTTATTTCAAATCCAAACACTTCCTCAAAGTAAGCAGGCTGACTAATTAGCAGCAAGTAAAAAGTCCAGCTTCTACAGAAGTTTGCAACTATTATTGCATAGACTGGCATAGATGTAAAAAATTTTCTCCATGGTGTTTTGTATTTCTGAAACACAGAAAGGGGATCAAGTTACCATGTTGACCATTATCAACTATCCACCTTCCCTTTCCTTACTCTTTTTTTTAGCTGTGGTCCAACAAGCACATATATGCACAGCATATAAATGTTACTACAAAATGCACAAATGAAGAAACTCAGTGATTGTATCACAGCACTCAGGTACAAGTGCTTATATATCAGTCATATAAATATGTACATGGACATAAAACCAAAATAATAATATCTTTAAATAATAATGTCTTTCAAAGACAATGTTGCTGTATTTAAGGAAACAGTTAGATTTGACACTAACTACATGAATTCTTTCAGATTTACTGCAAACAGGTATTTTAGCATCTAAATCTTAATTGCAGTATTCTACCTTTTTTCTTATCAAGTCTCAGCTGAAACTGCTTGGTCAATATATTTTTTGTTTGTTTTATTGTATTTTTAAAATAAATTGCAGAAAGAAAAAAAGAAGGACAGATGGACAACCCTGCTGAGTCCCAGCACCTGTACACATGCTCAGGCTTCCACCCATCTGTGTTGATGCAAACACAGGATCCATACCCAGATAAGTGCTTGAAAAACACTTCAGCAAGAATTCAGGCTGAATTCAGTCTACTATTGATTTGAATACTGGCTTTTCTTCAAAGAAAATCCAGCCCATAGACAGATATGTGCAACACCTTGTATAGCTATTAAATTACACTTAAGTGACAGGTAAGGATTAAGTGACTTAATCAATGGGAAGCCAGCCACAAAACCTAACTTGATGGTATGGGAAGAATTTCAGCTTAAATATTTTAGAAGCAACTGAATTATTGATACAAGATAATCACTTTGAAAAAAAAAAAAGTTAAATTAAAAAGCCACAATAAAAAATAGACAGAAATTGTCCAGTCCAAATTAGAATTGTACGGACATCCTTCAAAGTAACTCATTTCACATGAGATTTTCAAAACCATGAACCCTACTGAATGCTGTTGAATATCAACTGAGACAGGCCCTCAGTACACCTAAAAATTTTAGCTATCAAAAAATGACTCTGTAATATTTTCAGTTCCTTATTTAATACTAAAAAAAGTTTTTACTAAGTCAAAAATTGTTAATTCCTGAGTTCAATCAAGAACCAGTGTTCTGACCAAATAGAAAACATAATGAGGGTCTACTAGGAATGGATGGTGTAAAAATTTAAGCAGATGAAGTGAGGCTTAAACAATTTTTTTTTTTTATTTTCCTGACTGAGTGAGCAAACATGGCAATATTTTCTTTAAAACTTTTCAGCAGTTACAGAAATAAGATGATTATTAGTTAGCACGATTGGAGTGTTAAGTGTCTCGAAAATTCAGAGTTCATACATGGTTTTTAGGTCATACATGGCTCTCGAGAACTAAACCAGTACAGAACTAAGATTATGAGAGGCTTGATAACATCCCCAGCAAAATGACTGCAATAATGGGAAATGTTCTTATGGATCTCAAAGCTCTATTGCAACTTGCAGTCTTCCTGGAAGACAATACATAAAATAATAAGGACGGGCATTTTCTGATGTTCTGTGGACCTCAAGAGACACAGAGTAGTGCTTTTCCTGAAGTTTGCTTTTAGGAAGAAGAAAACCTTCCAGAAATTACTATATAGGAAGGAAACTGACTTTTTCAGCTCAAGATATAAGAAAAATCTAAATAAAGTTGCAGTATCAAATGTATCTGTACCTCTTTTTTATAAAAAGAGGCACAAATTCCATGAGTCATCTGCTAGAAAAACTGGAACCTGTGTTCTCTTAATGAAAAAGCAGTATCCACCCAGAAATCCACCAGCAGATTTAAGATCTTCCCATCCCCCAGGAACACATCTGTTCAAATTGTTCAAAATACACTTTTCGATCTTAAGGAGAGTGTTTGACTTTTTGTAGTTGTCTTTATTTGGTTGCTGGGATGTTTATTTTTCTTACTATCTCATTGGAAACCAGTGTGTGGGTAATATTCTTACTTCCATTGCACCTAGGAGGTTGGCACTCTCTCCAATGCTTTCTTCTATGTACCTCCTTTCTTCATCTGTGATTGTAGGATGCTTTGCAGGACTCTCATATGAAACCAAAAGCCAAAACATGTACCAGACTATACCAAAGCTCCCTTTGGAATGGAAAGAAATACTTTAAAAAGAAATACACAGTAAAGCAGCAAACAAGGAAGAAAAATCTGTGAAGAATTACAACAAATTTAAATGGCAATTGTTGTCTGTGCTTCTTTACTGACTTCTCTCAGCAGAGATAACTCTCCAACAGAGAGTTTGCTCCTGTGAATAATACTTGTGCAAAACACATGCAGAACTATAGCACAGTGAAGTAGTCTTTGCTTTGTTTTATAGAATTACTTCACTGTAAGTGAATATTCACTGATCTTAACATCAATTTGTACAATGCAAAGCAATGAAACAGCTTCCATTTCATTTCACCAAACTGTAAATGAAGGCCCATTCGGCTTTAAGATGCCGCTGTTTGATTACTGCACTAAATTTTTTACCTGCAGAATAGAAAACTCTGGCAACTTTTTCAACACAGCAATGCACTTCCTGAGTAGTTTATTAAATTTCTATAATGCTTCCACTTAATTCACATAAATGCAGAATGAATTCCCTTGAGGCATTCTTTTCTGTCAGTGTAGGTTAACGAAACTGGTGTGAATAAATGTAGGTCTTCAGATAAAAACCAGGACAACTCATTCAGGGCAGGTACTCTAAATTTGCAGTTTTTATCAGTGTGAGAGATGTTAATGTGAGCAGAGATACTATAGATCTGCCCAGAAGTGTGCACTGTTTGTGCTAAAGGTAATGGAAGGTTTCAATGTGAGCTGGCTTTTCTTATTTTATTATCTTGCTTTCTTACATACCCTTCTCTTTAAATTCTGTTCTTTCATGTTCTTTTCTCTAGACTGTATTTTTAGGTTAGAAGTCCCACTTCTCTGGGGTTTTTGTCCTCTTAACAGTAGCTTTTACATTTTTAGAAAGGGTAGAGGAAGGTCATACACTACTGGAGTGAAATGAGCAGAAATGCATACCATACACATAGAACACAGAAGACCACCCAGTGTATTGCACTAGAATCCCAGCTAAAGGCATTGCAATGACAGCTCCTGCATAGGAACCTACAAAACAAGACAAGGGGATGAACAGGCAGAAAGAAAAAATCAGTTTCAAAACACTCATGCATTACAAATAGAAGGAAGACAAAAATACAAAGTTACTTACCACAAAAGGAAGTGGTTGCTAACCTACTTCTTTCTAATGGGGGGGCCCACTTGCTCCAAATACCGTGGCAGGCAGGGTAGGTGACCCCCTGGGGAATGGGTGTGCCACAAGTTAGCTAAAGCTGGTCAGTCACTCAGTTAATTGTCTTTGCATGAGTTTTTATCTTTAATTGCTATAAACAAGAGGTTGAGAACGCTTTGCACCTTTGCAGCAAAATCTGAGCAGAGCCACAGAAAAACGTCAGTATCTGTTAGCTGAAATGGGTTTTGCATATCACTTCAAATCACTAAAGAGACCATATGAAACAAATAAAAAACATGTTTCCTTTTCCCTCCCCCTTCCAGGAAAGAATCACAGATAATTAAAGAGTATTAATGCACAAGAACCAGAGCCAAAGGAAAGATGACAACACAGATCCTCTGAAGTCCTTCTAATGCAGGACCAATTTATCCAACCCTTATTTTTTTTACCTAACATTTAAAGCAAAATTTAGGAAACACAGATTAAGGTGCCACTGTTCTAAAACTAGAAAATAAGATCCATAACCGTTTAGAAATATACTTTGAAGAGTTTTTCACTCTGTCTTCAATGAACCTACTTGAGCATGTAAAGTAAGTATTTGAATGATATTATTTGACTTCATTTTAAACCAGCTACCTTTTAGGTCTCTCTTCAAAACCAGCCTTTAACTTAGCAATAAAAAAATTAAACATGCAGTGTTGGAATTTTAAAAGATGTTATATGAAATGTACAGTAATTCCTGATTAAATTGTACAAATGTACACAAATTTGTGATTGAAAATTATGGTATATGCATATACACCATATAGATATTTTATATAGATTATATAAAATAACCTATATAAAGGTTATATAAAAAGGGAATGGAAGGAAAGGGAAAGGGAAAGGGAAAGGGAAAGGGAAAGGGAAAGGGAAAGGGAAAGGGAAGGGGAGAGGGAGAGGGAAAAGGCACAATTATTTTTTTCCTCATTTAAATTATGGTAAAATTCTTTTCCATTCCAACAAAAGCATGTCATGGTCAGGACTTAAGATATAACCTTAGGTTTTTATATATTTATCCTGTGATGCTGACCAACAAGTAACTGTTGAGAATTACACCAGTATAAGCCTTATGCAGTATAGGAGTTTAGTGAAACATCAGTGCTAAAAGCATATGTCATTGGCTTCTCATTTTGCCATGACATTTTATAGCTGAAGGAAAATCAAATAGCAATAATTTATACATTGAAAGCAGTTATACTCAGTAATAAATTTAAAACCATTTCTATCTTCCTTCCAAAGCTACAGTTGTTAGCTAAAGGCTAACAAATACCTATTACATTTACTAGTTGATTTACAATTTTCCATACCTCTACAAGGCCCTGCAAGATCCTAACGAAGATGACACATCCATAGTGCACCCTGGCTGCAGATGGTATTAGCATGTTGAGGGAAGATGTCAGCAATATAGCAGCACCAAATACTCTGCAAAGGCAGCAAAAAGGGGAAAGTAAGAGACTTCAGTGCTCTCCCAAGTGACTTATTCTACATATGTTCATATATCAATATAAATGTTCCCTACGTGTGCTCTTTATATGGGGAATGTACTGACTGCACTGGATAAGTGTCTGCTTCCATCTAGTGTAATAATCTGGCTGGTAAGACCCAGACCAGACATGGATCTGTTTATCTATTTAGCATAATTTCCTAAGGAAATATATCTTATGCAATCACATGTATAGATATTAATTTCCCTATAAACACCCACTTTAATTTTCACACTAATTTCAACCAAATCTGATTGAATTCTCCACCCTCTGGAAACAAAACCAGAATTTGTCTCCAAAGGGTGTGCTAGAACAGATGATCAGAAAAAGAGTTTCTCATGTGCTTTAATTGTAAGAAAGTGACACCATACATTTACTCTTTATAAAGCAGAAGAGAATTCACTTTCATACAGGCCGCAAGCATTGGGAAGAATTTTAGAGCTGGGATTTTCCTAGACACAAGAGATAATCAATCTGGAAACACATATCTGTAGAAACCAGGTAATTCTTACTACTACTTTTTCAGGGGCTACTCACTGAAAATTGCTCATTTTGATTCCACAGCATCCTAATTTGAAATAAAACACATTACAAAGTCTAAATAAATGCATGAAGTGGTAATTCATTTTCAATTCCACTGATTTTACTGAATTTTTATTTGATTCGATTAATATCCACCTCTTGTAGGAGGAAACCTTTTCCCAGCATTATTGTGTCTCTTTTTTTTCTTAAGCTATATAATGCAAATATAAATCTGATGGCATATGACATCACAGTATCTGATGTGGAACTGATTTGACAGAAACCTTTGACCTTCACTTGTGTTCTTCAGAAACTGGTACAGTGCCATAAGTCATTGAGAAACAGACCTTGGGCTAAAGATGCAGCATGAAAACTCTCCTCAAAGATACCATATTCCACATTCTGTATTTAGAATCACAGTCTGAAACAAATCTTGAAACAGCAAACTGAGTATATGCCACTTTTATCTGACACATTTTAAAGGGCATGGTAAGGAATCTTTGCTAAAGTGCCCTAAATCTCATCTCCTAATTGTGCTCCCTTTGATGTCTATATCAAGTTAAACAATATTTAGCTGTCTGTACAGAATATTTCTGGCTTTGCTTGTCAGCATGTTCAATACATTTGCTGGGACTGACTGGGCACGTGATTGTGTGGCACTGTGAAGACTATTTTGACCTAAATTGTCTTCTACTCTTGATTTCTTAATGTGTAAGTTTCTACTCCGAAACTACATGCACTTCATTTCCTTACAATTTAATACCTCCTTATGCTCACATAAACTCCAGTGGTGTCTTGTTCTGTTAAAATCACGTGAAGATAGAACATTAAAAACCGCCATCTCTTTACAAGGCTAAGATTTACAAAATTGTTGCAGTAGGTAACTGATTCTTCAAGGGAAGTTTTTTGATCCTGTATCTGAAATCAGCTCCTATTTGCCCACAACTGAAAAAAAAGCTATGTTTGCCTCTGTTCCCATGTTTACTGAAGAGAAGCTGTTTCCTTGAGTCTATTCCTTCTAGAAGACAAAGGAAAATGTAACTGAAGGAATGATCAGGGACATGCTTCTTCCAGACTAAAATCTGGCCTGTATTTAGACACACAAGTACTAGTGAACATTCAGTTACACCAAGGTGTAGACAATGAAATAATTCCGCAGCGTCACTTGTGAGTCAATTCTCTCTGAATTGACTCACAAGTCAATTGTGAGTCAATGCTTTATAAGAATGATTTCCTCCCTCTCCCCAAAAACCTAAGGATTTAAAAGTAGAACAAGTTAAATCTTTATTATTGCAAAAAATGGCTTTTTTAATGCTTTTTGTGAGTCCCTATTAAAAGTGATGTCATACATGGCTATTTTAGTGAGTCCGTTTCCTCTACAACTCTTAATCAAGGGCAAATAAATCTTCCTATATTTGCTTTGTAACTCTCAGTGCATAATCATAAATACCATAAGAATTTTTATTTTGGGCTCTTTAATCTTCTTAGGTTTATTTCCATAAATACTAAATTCTACCTTAAAAAAGATTGTGATATAGTGCTGGTTTTTGTAAAACCTTACTGTTTTATTGCTTTAAATATCTCACTTAGCAGTATTTATTATTATTTAGATCAAGTAAAAATGATTTTGAGCTACAGTCAATCAAAATATATTTGAATGCAGCTCACATTTGAATATATTTAGTTAGGAAATGGAGCATTCTGATTGTTCCTAGGGCATTTCTACACTATTTTGCTGACTCACACATCAAACCCTCAAATTATGTAATCCTTTTTTTTTTTTTCTGCTTGCATTTTTTTCTGTCTACTAAGCTAGTGATTTATGATCCTTTACATTTAATTTCTGCACCTCGCTCAATTTTTTTACGATGTTAACCCCAGCAAAGGGTTAGAAAGCTTAGATTTCTTATGTTGTCATGGCAAATTACATGTGTGTGTGCTTCCATTGTCATATGCACTGATGGTTAATGTTCATTCTCAGACAGATCTAGGTCCCTGCAAAACACAGTTTCCAGCTGGCTTAGGAGTGTTCGTTCCTCCGCACACCCCACTGCAATTTTGTGCGAGCTCCAGTTTGCCCTCTGGATGTTCTGATGTCACACTGAGTGGAGAGCTCTGGCCCTTATTGGACACACATATGTAAAGCTGCTAGACCCTGTGGTACCTGTCTTCAGTTGTGTTTCCAAAGCTGGGCTCTGGAGTGAGCCAAGCCTTGCTGCAGAGTGTCCCTTGGGCTGAGCTCAGCCCTGGAAATCCATGCGGCTGCACTTCCATGCAGAGGTATCCTTGAAAATCCATTTCATTCTGGGCACACTCCAAACCCCATGAAAGGTTTTAAAGCCATGGCACAAGGTAAGAGCTTTAGCAGATTGAAGTAAACTCTGGGAAAACTGAGTTATATCACAGAGATAAAGCAGGCAAGACCAATGACACTGCCATCATTCCTGGCCCTTGCATTAGGTTGGAATTAAAATGTCATGACTTGTCTTCAGCAGCCCCTAGCCTTGCAAAAAATTCCTTTCTGAGTCAAAATCATCAACTGTGCAACGATATCTGGAAGAAAATAAACATATACAGAAGAAGACAATAAATACAGTAGTATTATGTCAAGGAGAGGGGAAAAACCCCAATAAATTCTGGTCCTCATAAGCGACCAGAAGCAGTCCTGAAACAAAAAATTATGCTTTACTTATCTATTTCTACTTCTAGACTGAGTAGATGCAGTCCCAAAAATCAGAATCTAACATTCATCTTCAGTGTTTTGCTGACACTGGCCTCAAAGGTCATGAACTGTGACTTAATCCTCCTGTAATATAAGTAGTAATAATAGCAAAATCATATTTTAATGTGAGACATTTGGGATGGGAGAAGAGAAAGAAAATTACTTCGACAGCACAGGAGAAGTGCTTAGAATGGAATGAGGTTGCAAGGGGAATTAATCTGTTTGGGTTCCAAGTCAAACAGATTTGGCTCATTTTTCTCTTTTAAGCAAAAGAAAAATAAGTACATTTATAGATCTCTAATCTCTGCATCTGTGCAACAGCACTATTTCCATCTACCTTTGTCAGGCAATCCACGTTACATGAGCATTCTGCAGTGTGTTACAGATATTGTTACACAGCTGGAAGCAGAGTCAGCTCAAAAAGTGAGCTGAGCACAGGGCACTTCAAGTGCTGAGTGCCAGACAGATGGATGCCCTATCAAGTTACATACAGGATATCTGCAAGTAAGGCATCTCATTAGAGCATCCCTTTACCCCAGTGACTGGGAATCAAAATTGCTGCAAAGAATTCATAAAACTAAAGGCCCTTTTAGATGTGTATGTTCTGGAATCAATTCCTCATCTGAGCCTCCTGTATTTTTGTTGATGTTAATTTTCAATATATTTGATAAATTCAATATATTTGATAAATTCCACAATTATCGATGTCTCTATTCTCTTCATAAGCAAAGTCACCTTGAGAAAATGAAACTTATAGATATTGCATGAGTCTTTTCTAAAGCATATGGAGTACCTTAACTAAATTTGTCCTTTAAAAAAGATTGAAAAGTAACTCTGTATATTTGAAACAAATTTTTAAACATTTATTTAAACAAGAAAATGCCATAGTTTTAAGATGTGTAAATATATGCTGTATCAGTGAATTATTAACTAATTTAATCAAAATTCAAAATAATTAAAGAACAGTAAGTCTTGGTCACTTACAACTACAAAACACTATTCAAACAGATTTGCATTGAAAAATACAAAAGTATAGAAAGTATTGAACGGCTTCCATTGCAAATTGATTCAGGACTGGAACTGAATAGTTTTTCCCTCCAAAGTGCCACTGATCATCATTTCATGAAAGATCTATCTACTGAATAGGAACATTAGATTATTTTGTTAGTTTTCTAGGGAATCACAGTGTGGGGGTGGGTGTGTGGGGATGTGTGTGAAAGCATTTTGCACCACTACAATAAATTAAATTCAAAATATTATAAATTGGTTTATTCTGACTGTAAACAGAAACCTATGGAAAATGTAATCCATGTTCATTTCTGAAAAAGAAAAACCTCTGATTTGACAATTTTACATGAATATAGATCATATTCTACAGAACATTATTTTCACTGGAAGAAGTATGTGTATTGATCAAATACTTGATTTCTAAACAGCGATAAAATGTTTTCCCTAGTCATAGTTACAAATTAGTTAGGCAAATTTGTTAGGTAAGTAGGGTGGAAAATAAAGGGGATTGAAAACATGAGCTTTCTTGTGAAGTGTTCCCAATCTAGTTTAAAGTTTAGATGAAAAAAAACCTGCCATTATTAAAAAAAAAAAAAAAAAAAAAAGAAATTTACTTGGATCCAAGTTGGTGAGTTGGCTTGCCATTTTCTTTACAGAAATCACATGAAATATGTTGAACAAAGACT